TCTTTTGGACAATTCATACTACAACCATCAGTTACTACTGTTACAGCAAACAATAAAGTTTATACTGCTACCCCTACAGTTGATTCATTTGTTCCTATAGGAAAACAAATTTTAGAGGATCTTCGTTCTCCTTATGTCGGTGAACTTGAGAGTAAGAATAATGAGATATCATTATGTAAAAATAAACTGAAATCAATTGAAATTGAGATCAAGGCAATTGATCATAAAGTTAAAGAAATGAAGGAAATGCATCAAAGATTACCAGAGAGAAAAGCGCATATAAAAAAACTGATGAATCTTATAAAAGAAAAAATAGAAAAGCATAGACAACAAAGATTGGATGATATATTAACTGAGGAATTAAATAAGATATCATCAACTACAACATCAACCTCTTCATCTTCATCAAATAGTCTTGAACTAAATGAAAAGTATGATTTATGTATAATATGTATATGTTGTTAATGATGTTTACGTAGTTTTTTTTATTTTTTGACAAAATTTCTTTTCTAGAAAAAAGGAAGAACTTAAAAAGCAACTAGATGAAGTGATTGGAGAGAGGAAAAAATTAATGGAAACATTAATAAAAATGAGATCAACTCCAAGAGAATCCACTTTACCATATCGACAAGCCTTTAATAAAATTTTGAAGGATCGAATTTTTGTGAGTTTTTAAATTTTTTGAATATATATATTTTACAAAAATACTAACATCAATCTTGTTATTACTACTACTTATTACTGTTGTTAATGTTAACGTTAAAGGCTGAGTAATCGGGAAATCTTATATAACAAGCTGTTTGTTTATTTTTTATATTTTCTGTTACACCATGTATAATTATCACATGACCGGATTTAAAATGACGCGTCGAGTTTTTTTTTTTTTAATCAATAATGTATAATTTATATTGTAATAATTATTATTTATTTATTTATTTATTTTATTTATTCTATATTGTTTTTACAAAATTATAAATTGGAAAAGAATTAGGAACAAATTAATTTGTTTTTTATTATTAAATATATATATATTTATATATATATGGTTATTATACGATTATATATATCTTTTAAAAAGAACAAAAAGAAAGGATTGTAAAAAAATTAAGGCAATAAAATAATCAATTTGAATTGAATAAAAAAGAAAGATAAAATAATATATAATTTTTTTTTGTTTGTGTTTGTGAAAATTTTTTTTTAAATTTAATAAAATATGAATATAGTATAGTAGGTTATGGAATAAATATATACATATTACAAAAAAAAATTTTTTTTGTTTAGTTTGTGATTTTTATTGATAAAAAATTTGCGAATTGTAAAAAAAAAAAAAAGGAAACTTAATGAATGAATGAAAAACATAAAAAAAAAGCGAGAAAATAGTAATATAAAAATGAACTTGTTAACGAAATTATAATTATACAAAAATAAACTTAATGCAAATAAGGTAAAAAAAATGCAAAATGCAAAATTTAAAATAAAAAAATAAATGGATTGTTATAAAAAATACAAAAAAGTATATGCGTGTGTGTATATGTTATATAATGTATGATATAAGAAATAAATGAATGATATAAATAAATGCACGTTGTCGTAAATAAATTAAAAATCATATAATGATTAATGATAATAAATAAATAATTATATACTATACAAAAAAAAAATAATGATATAATATTAATAATTAATTGATTTTATTGCCCTAATTTTTTTTCTCAAAAAAACAAAATTCTTTCTTTTTTTCCACTGCACTCATCAGAACTGCCCGCAGTGTAATTATTATTTTTGATATGTGAGTGATATAATGATGATAATATATATATGAAAATATTTATATTTATATTTAACAAAATTAAAATGATAATGTCTATGTTGTTAATAATTGCTTTAAAGGAAAAGAAAAAACTTTGATCATCTATATAAAAAAATGAAAAAGTCGATTATTATTATGAATATGATATGAATATGAAACGAAATAGTTATATTATTTATCATCAACTATTTCGCCAGCTATTTCATCTTTCCAATTTTCCAAAACTGTTTGTGTGCATCAAAAAAAAAATATTTACAAAAAACTTAAAAAAAAATTTATGTGTATGTGTGTGTGTGTTTATGGATTTTAATTTTTTTGGTTCTGTTAATTCTGTTTGTTTTGATTTTAAAAATCAATAGTACCACCATTATCAACAATTTCCAACATCTGTTCAACCTGTAACCTAGCTCTTGCCAATGCCTCTCTTGCAGCGGAGAAATTTGTACCGGTACTAGGAGTTGAAGCACCTGATCTTATATCACCACGATATGAAGTTATCGAAGATATTGAAGATGCAGAAGATGGCTTTTTATGACCTTTACTTTTACTGGCATTAAACCCAGGTGTACTAGGAGCCGAATTGCTTTTATTATAACTACTTTTATTATTACTACTAACCATAATATTACTTTTTGGATTTCTTGATGATGGTGTAGCTCTACCGTTAATATTATTTGAAGATGGTGTAGCTCTACCATTAATATTATTATTTGAAGTAGGTAACCTTTTACTATTCGTGCTACCAGCTGGTAATTTTGTGTTTTTCGTACCACCACTGCTGCCTCTACTGGTGGTGGTGGTGGTGGTTTTACTTGTACGTGTTTTGGTTGTAGTGGTAGTAGTTTTTGCGATATTTGAAATACTATAATCACGTCGACTAAACACACTCGTCATTTGATCAGTTAAACTTTTAAGTGTAGCATTGTCAGCTTCCTTTAAAATATCAGTTAATATCGCAGATTCTTCTTCTATCGATGTAGCATGACTGCTAACACTGGTTGCACGTGATGGTGGTCGAGAAGAGTATGTCGGTGACATTGTAGGAGATGAGATCATACGATGATGACTATATTTCTTGTTATTGTATGAATCACGTGTAGGACTTGTTGATCTTGGTGTCGGCGTCGAGTATAACGAGCTGTAGGAACGGGGTGTTGAAGATGCAGAATGCCTTGAACTATTGTTATTGTATGCATTGTAAGGATCACCGCCACCGACGACACCATTATTGCTAATATAACCTTTACTACTAACGTAAGGTTGTTGATGTTTACTAATTTTATTAGCAACATCATCATAATAATATCCATCATCCTCAGGATGAAATTTATTTCTAGATGGACTCAACGGACTCGATACATTTGTTAAATGATTACTATTATTACTATTAGAATAATGATGACGTTGTTGTTGTTGCTGTTGCTGTTGTTGTTG